TCCATCATATTCTGCTCCAGCACCTACCAGCTCCAGCACCTAGCTACTCGGCCCCAGCTCCTAGCTATTCTGCTCCAGCTCCATCGTACTCGGCACCAGCTCCAGCACCAGCATATTCTGCACCAGCTCCAAGCTACTCTGCTCCAGCCCCGGCACCAGCATATTCCGCCCCAGCTCCTAGCTATTCTGCACCTGCTCCAGCTCCGTCCTATTCGGCTCCAGCACCGGCTCCGGCATATTCTGCACCAGCTCCGAGCTACTCTGCACCAGCTCCAAGTTATTCAGCTCCTGCACCAGCTCCTAGCTACTCTGCTCCAGCACCAGCATATTCAGCTCCAGCTCCTAGTTACTCTGCTCCAGCAGCCCCAGCGCCAAGTTATTCGGCACCAGCTCCATCGTACTCGGCACCAGCACCAGCCCCAGCGTATTCTGCACCAGCACCAAGTTACTCTGCTCCAGCTCCATCGTACTCGGCACCAGCACCAGCTCCAGCATATTCTGCACCAGCTCCAAGTTACTCAGCCCCGGCTCCTAGTTACTCGGCACCAGCTCCAGCCCCAGCATATTCAGCTCCAGCTCCTAGCTACTCTGCACCAGCTCCGGCATATTCTGCACCAGCTCCGAGCTATTCCGCTCCAGCTCCCAGTTACTCTGCTCCAGCGCCAGCCCCGGCATATTCTGCTCCGGCTCCATCCTATTCAGCTCCAGCTGCCCCATCGTACAGCGCACCCGCGACATACGGATCCTCCAAGTACAATGCCCCCGCTTACTCGGCATCCGCTCCTGCGTCTTACGCTGCTCCTGCTCCTGCTGCCTACAAAGCTCCGGCCTCGTACCGCACCGCCGACACCGAAGACCTGACCAAGGACTTGACATCGTCCACGGCAAACGATGACGACGAGAAGATGATCATCGACGATATTACCGGAGCCACCGCATCGCCGGACGACAAGGAGAAGCACACCCTGAAACATATGGAAGAGATCGCCAAGGCGAGAGCCGCCGGCGGCAAATGGGAAACCGAAATGACCGGTGCCACCAAAGACGAGACGATGATGGACAAGAAGATGGACATGGGAATCGGATGGGAGAAGAAACCAGAGATGAGGGAAGCTTCCTCGGGTGGATGGGGATTGGAAAACGAGAATCAACCCAAGGACAGCACGCTCTGAACGACCATCAATCAATCAAGCAATAATATAATATTATAACTACTTTTTAATTTAAACTGATAATGTGAATTTTTGTACTTTTTTTTCTAATATTCTCGAAGCAAATAAAAAAAACATTACGATGTTTTGTGAAAAATCAATTCGGAAAGACACTCTCTCTCTCTCAATGCAATTGCATTTCCACAAATTTTCATCATCATCATCTAAGTAACTAATAGATGTCACATCACAACACATGACATCGTGTTTTACTCACGCATAGAAACAGTTTCCCATTATCATTGATCGATTTCCGAAGCACTGAGAATTTTAAGTCATATTGATATGGCGAAAAGATGAAATCGATGAAACACGCTCAACTTGTCACACCGAAAATTAATAAATAAACAAATAAATAAAATGTCAAGTGAGAATCGCGACGCGAAATCAAGTGACTTTTGTGATTTTGTTTTTGGTAAAACAAGAAAGGAAGGAAGGAAGGAATTGCAAGAAGTATCTACAGATTTGATTGATTTGAGTTTATGAAATGCAATGCAGATTTGTGGATGATTTTCGCAAAGCAAAAGCCGATTAAATATTTATATTAATCTTTTTATAATATATTCATAATTTACATACGTTTAAGTAGTCACATCATATTATATTATAAACAATATTTACTTAAATCTTCAATAACAAATAACCAAGTATTGGAATGCAACAAAATTACGTGTAATAATTAATGCCTCGTCTTCGATTCAAGACTCAAATCACTTTCAAAAAGAAAACAAACTGAGGAATAGAGAAAGAGAGAGAGAAACGTAAAGTAATGTGATTTTCGTTTAAATAGGATAACTAACTACTCAATAAGAGAGAGAGAGAAAGAAGGAGAGATGAATAGAGAGAGAAGGAAATGAAAACTTTGGGAATGAGAGAAGAAAATCAAAGATAAAAAAAAAATTGAAGAAAATAAAAAGAGGAGAGTAAAATCACAAACGAAAAAAATAGGCTTTTATATACCACTAACTTCTGGAATATCTTTCTGCGTCTTCTCCACTCCCATTCTCCCCCAACGTCAGCCGAAACGACGACTCATCATCTCGCTCTTCCCGCTCTTGATCTAATTCATTAATTCGTGGTGATCTTCGACTGAACTAGGAAACCTGGCACGTGCAGCAGTCCGTTGGCGCAGAGCTGCGCGAATCTCTTCCTCAGCGTCTCCCGCAGCTGCTCCCTCTCCTCAGACACCTTTCTGTTGTTCGACTTGAACTCGTCCACCTCCTCCGGCGTTATGAAACAATCTGCATCATCACAGTAAAAATGGTCCTGAAATAGAAACGAATTAGATGAAGTACGAGTGGCTTGCAGAGCGAATAGACTCACCTCGAGCATCCTTTCTAGACTCAGTTGATCACCGCTGCCGTAGCACGTGTATTTGGTGTAGGCGCTCTCCGTCTCGTTCTCCAGGTGGCAACAGGTGTCCGAACACGCGAGCTCCGATCCGTCCGGCGAGCTGGGCAGACTCGAGGCCAAAGATTCCGTCTCGCAGAAGCCGTTGTTATTCTCGGACGAGTAACCGCAATCGTATTCACCGTTCGGCGGGACGAAATCGCACCTGCTGAACCTGCTCTCGTCCGTCTCGGCCTTTTCCTTTTCCGCCTCGTCCTCGCAGCAGTAGCACTCCTCCAGGTTGTCGTTGCTGTTGTCCAGTTTGCACCGGCAATCCAGATCGTTCTTCTCGTCGGACTCGTCGTTGTTGATGATGCCGCAATTCTCCTCCTTACCGTTTTGCTTGCTCTTTTTGCGCTTCCTCTTCAGCTTTTTCTGCTCCTTGCGCAGCTGCTTCTGCTGCTCCTCCCGCGACAGCTCCGCGTACAGCAACTCCAGCTGCGAGATGCCCTGCTTGCTCTCCACCGCCGTTTCGAAGCTCCTCCACAGCGCGTTGACGGCGACGGCGGCGAACACCTGGCACGTGCACTCCTCCTCGCGCATCCTCATGTATATCCTGTGCAGACGCTCGTACATGCATATGCCGATGCACGTGAGCACCTCCTCCTGGGCGATCTCCAAGGTTTT